ACAGCCAACGAGCAACAAATTGAAATAGTCAATACTCTGCGACAAAATTTATTTTATTGGTCTTTTGAAGTATGCTAATTAATATAAAGGGAAGCGGAGAAATTAAAAGCTGTTCATAAGCTACCCTCAACATGAAAAAATTGCTGACCAAATTCATCTTTCCTCTCCCTCATTAAAACATACACTTTTTGCCTACATCACTGTGCTTATATGGGCTTCTTGAATGCATTAACCACTCAGCAGATCAGTGGGTGACTCGCATTGTCAGTTATTGCCCACATTTAGCAGATGTTATTTCCCCAATGGGTTTTTTATTATCCCCTGCTCTAAAGGCTCTTTTGCCCACACCGCGATCTTTTTTTATGTAAGTACCCTATCCACTAAAAAAAGCGTCCCTGTCCCTGAAGTGTTTTTCTATTACGTTGAATATTATGTACACTTCAAGACGAATTGGATGCTGTGTTCTAGCTAAAAGTCAACAAAACGTTGAAATATGTCTGTGGATATTTGTTATCAAGTATGCGCCTCATACGATGTTGACAAAGTCACCATGGTCGTTCATACAGCCCCCTCCAACATAATTCCAAAACATTTTTTCAGACAATATCGCTGAAAGTACCATATGCGCATAAAACATTGGCAATTGAACACGTGTATAATAACAGTAATATACTAGGAATAATAAATTATGTTTGTTATTTCAGGAATAAAATGGAAGCCAGTGAAGAAACTATCAGAAGATGGTTACTATCGGAGCCAAAATACGTTGAACACTGGTATTGTTTTGACACGATCGGATCTAAATTTTTTGAGAAAATGACTTTGGAAAATCCACACTATCATCTTTACAGGGCGGAAAAGGAAATCCTGATAAAACACGCAGGCAAGTATATCGCTTATTGTTATTCATGCTAGTATTTACAATAATATGACAAGTGTAGAGATTTCAGTTCACCAGTCCGTATATCAGTCAATAAGGTATGTTATATGTAAAAAATATATAAATATTTAAAGCATGAAAAAAATGGAAAATTTCATTGAAACATTTTTAACAAAGGAGTGAAATAACATATTATAAAAAATATAAACACATCTACAGTAGAGACCAAATAAAACTGAGTTTTCCATTCAATTTCAAATAGTACACATGCTACTGAGATCATTAGTTCGTCAATAATGATGATTCATCCATTGCAGATGAAATCGTCTCGCATTTGCAAGATGTTAGCGTTTGCGAGCTAGGTTCTGGAAATTTCAGTAAAACCACCCCTCTGTTTTCATCGTTATTGAAGAACAACAAATCAGTCACTTATATTCCGATAGATGTAGCTAAAGGTACGTTTACAAAATGTGAGAACTACAATGTTTTTATTGTTAGAAAGTACATAACAAATGTTTGCTTTGAATGCCAATAGTTGGATTATTCGGTATATTTTTTTAATCGTATATTGAAGTGTGATGTAATAAATACAATGCACATATTTTAATTAATT